ACAATGGTTCTCCTCAAAATGGTCTTCTTCAAACATGAAAGCAATTGCGGCCTCCAGGAAAAGCTTCAAATGCAGTTCACAAACCACAACAAGCCTCTATCAAGCAGTATTTACCCAGTCCTGAAATATTACTATACACAGCAGCATTTGAATAGCACTGCGATTTATTATGTTTAAGTTTCTTGTATGGAACTATGTTCACTTAGTCACAGAGCTTTCTGTAACAGACAGACAGGGATGGAAAGAGAGACAGTTCATATCTTTCCTTTTATACACTTCTTTCTTTGGATTTTTTCCTGTTGTGTTTGTTAAATCCTTAGGTCAACATGACATGGTTCACACATGTAAACTGAAGTACATGCCTAGGTATCTGCAGGATCAGGGCCTTGCTAATTCCAGTATCTATTTCTGTCTCTTTCTAAGCCTTATCATTCACTATGCTAGTTACTATTCATTCAGTAACAAAACATTTAATATAATTCAAAAACAGAGATAAAATTACATTGATTTACAGAATAATGCCCACAAAGAGTGTACATCTTTGAGTACTGGATTTCATGGTAGCTTCAGATAATGTATCTTTGAGTCACAATTACCTAATATTCTAGTGTGCTTGATGTAAATTACCTGGCACTGTAAGGTAAGAGTACAAAACCTTCAACATAAATTTAGTGACTAATAGAATAAGTGCAGTGACAGACCTAACCAGAAATCATCCTCCACAAGTGCAATAACATTGGGCAACCTGTATTAGGATCCTGATCACACTGATACTTGAACACCTTAAAAAAAAATTAAAAATCTTCTGCTAGTTGCTGCAGCTTGGGAATGAAATGGAATTTAGAAGTCAAAGAGTACTTAAAATTCACTATCAGCACATTCTGCACAAAGTCATAAATGGTACAATATGACAGGAAAAATTGTGTCCTAACAGTGTCCAGGCCATGCAGTCTCTGTACCAAAGTAATAGCACATTGTGTATTCTGTGAATATCTGATTTGCTCAGTGGTTTAGCTCTCTTGTTAAAAATCAGAGTTCTAGGCTTCAAAGGACAGCCTTCCGCTTGTGGTCACCGTAGCCTTCAATGGACAACTAGCAAAGATCATGCGACAAAAGCTAAATCATCTGCAGAAGAGACAGAAATATTGGAAAATAACAAGGAAACCAAACTGCTTCAGTGAAGTCCCAGAAATTTATCCCGGAACTTTCAGTCTTGACCTTCTAATACTGAGTTCCATTAAAAAATAAAAAAGCTGAATAGAGAGCATCATCTGCATCCACAGCAAGGAAAAAAAAAAATGTAGCCCTCAAACACACTAAACCAGCATAACATTTCAAAATGTTAGATCATGACTTAGAAACAGATGAAAAAGCAAAGGAATTTTAAAACATACAGGGAAAGTATAAACTTTTCTCTTTGCTCTTCATTTCTGACACAATGATGCAATACTGCTTCTTACTTAAGAACTGCTCCTGTATTCCTTCTCCAAAAATATCTCTCATTTAGGATATGAGTCTTTTATTGTCACAAGGGTTTTGATCAAACAGATATTATCTGATTTTACACCTGATCTTATCAGGTATTCTCTTAGTTACAGGAAGGCAAAAATGTCTTGAAGGGCTGCCATGCCTCTCCCAACCCACTGAATTGCACACTTGCATGGTCTTGTCAAACCAGAAATGCTGTGGCACTGGCATGGTTCTCCTCTGGACCCCTTGGGGCACCAGTAGCACAAAACGTTATATATTTATATTTACGAACACATACGTTCTGGGGATGAATACAGGGCAGAGAAAACTAATGAGGCCCACAGGCAACATGGATTAACATGCATTTCTACACAGGGACCATATATCTGACTGCTACTTCTACTACCAGAGTGGCTCTTTTTCATCTTGGCCCTAGTTTGGAAGGAAAGAGAAAGGTAGTAAGAGCCTAGCACATCTACATTAAGTGCTCAACTGAATAAGCTTCCACATAGAGGAAAACTGGGCTCTAAATATCCATCACACATCTAAATTCTGCTAAGAAATCCCTAGATCACTGCAGAGCTATTGAGGATCAAGACTTTGGCCATAAAAATGCACTTAGCTACATTTTACACGACTGTTGCATGAAGCATAGCAAAGGTTAGCTCTAAAAGACAGATTCAAATATCTTTAGACTTAATGATCATTAAAAGCTTAAATACTCTGCTGATCCAGATGCTTGTTAAAAATGTTCACTCAGGTTGCAGATGCCTAAAGAGATCAAATGCTGTAGAAAAACATCTCTTAAGCCTGGGGTGTCTATACCATCTAGAATTTTTTGTAGATCTTTCTTAAATCGTGAAAGCCAAAACACAACAGCCTTCAAAAACAAATTCTAATTAATGTCATACATACACTTAAAGCATCTCTTTTATGAAAGTGAAAGTCTGTCAGACAGCAAGAGGAAAATAGAATGAATCATAAAAATAAATCCATTTCCTCTCACAATATGTGTCCTCTGAAGCTTTCAGACGTACTCCCTTGATATGCTGCTTCAGCATCACTGTTAGAAAAATGGTCTCTACATCATGCCATGTTGTATCCAAACTAAATAGTTAAAGGACATCATTTGCCAGAGTGAATTAAGGTAGCTGGCAAATGAGTAATCCAACGGGGAATCACAGATATGTATTCTCACACTAAGTGATCAAATGAAGGGCTAAGGACAGCCCTTGAAATTGAAGCAATTTTTGGAGTATTGGTTAAGAGTCTCAAACAATTTTGACTCCAGGGAAAGTGCCTTCCTAATGAAATCAACAGCTCAGATAAAGAGAGCTTACAGGGTCAAATCTGTAATTATTTTTTTGCTGAGAATGTTGTTTCCCAGATTAAAAACATCTTTTATGGAAACATTAATATACATGTCTATTTCTTTTCACAAACATTTGATTTTTGTAGTGATGTTAGATGCTCATATGATCCAGATTCCTGGAGTCCAAGCCCAGTGAAAGCAACCGATCTTTTATGAACACCATAGTGCTCTTAGACTGTAATTTAAATTGTTAAGTAGTTCTCTGACTATTTTTAAAAAATATAGAATAGTTTTTAAAGTTCTATGTCTTAATGACATTTACCTTACTACCCTTTGGTGTCATGCTTCATTGTCATCTTCTTTTTCTTTTTTTTAAAAAAAACAGAAATCAGAATGTTAGAGGGGTAAACATTCATTTGATATAAATCATAGCATTAGCATCCTGCTCTCTAATGAATATGCCTTTTCAATACACTGCTATCCTTACCTTGGACTAAAAGCCAGTATGACTGTCTTTTATTAGCGCCATGGCAGAAGCAGCACCACCCAGCTCCAGGACAGCTCTAGCAGATGTGAGGAGACCTCTAAACGAGTGATATGACTGATACTGTCACTGCTGCAAGTGCAGTGCGTGATAATGCTGCCTCCCAGACCCAGAGCAAGTAGAAGACAGCTGTGGGCATAGGAGAGGCCATGGTATGTAGGGGTGGGGAGATTGCCCAGGGGCTGCAGAGACAAGAAGAGGGCATGGAAGATGGGGCAGGGCTATCCTGCAGAGTCAGCCACATGCTAGTTCTGGAAAATTGAAGCTGTAAGCATTTCTCATTTTCAGTTCCAGCATGTGCAATACCGACTGACCAAAGCCTGAAGGACTTACATTGATTACTGGGAAAGGAAGTCGCTACCATTTGCTATATCCTCCTTACAGGTAGCTGCCTGTCCAGACATTTTGCTCACACAATAAGTTCCTTCAGAAGAGAATAGGATGGAGAGAAGCAAAAGAGAAAGGCAGACAAAACCAAAGACATCACTTACACCGGACATGGAAATTGAAGTTTCCCTCACTCCATCACTCTTCTGCTCTTCCACGCATTTCTTCACATACAGCCCTGGCCTGAGACACAAACATCCCTGCCAAAGCCCCAGGTAATGACAAACCCAGACTACTATGCTGCAATGAATATTCTTTGACACAGATCTGCATCATCTATTTTTGGCACCTTTATCCATAGTGTAATTTTTTTTCTGCTTGGCTTCCCATCACTGGAAGTCCATATTCCCCACCCAAGCATGATGACATACATGTAAACCACAAGATCCTTAATAATAATAATAATAATCTAGAATTACTGTGCTTTCACCAAATGCTCAGAAGTCCCCCACACCAGCATACTGCAGCCTCAGATTGAACAAAATGCTTCTCTGCCATGTAAATTCAACACTGTCAGCAATTCTATAAGGAGGAAGAAAAGGAAACAGGCAGCAGGGCCTGAGCTCAAGCTCACCCAAGGGTCAGCCAGCACTAGTCATGCAACAAGGCCTTTCTAAAGCCTCCAACACCATCATTTCATGCAATGCACGTCGTGACAGAAAATCTAAGTGAATTAAGAAAAGGCCACAGACTCAAGTTCTTCCTGAGTGCTCTTACTTCTGTATTGGTACCAAATAGATAGGTTAGATCTCAACAGGTCTACCAGAAACTAGATGAGTTGTATTGCACATAGCTATGTGTACACACACAGAGAGATAGAGAGAAGAGGACCCATAAGACTAGATAAGACATGGAAAAAGGAGGACAAAAGAGTAAATTTCAAATTTTTCTTTCTATAAATTTGAAAATAATAATAAACAGTTTTAATCACAAATACTGGGTCAATTACTATTTTTCTGAACCTTTGAAGAGTAGCTCCAGGAAATTATACTGGGCCAGAAATAAACCAGGTATAAACATAGGGAAAGTATTCAACACAAACCAAAATAAGGACTGGATACGATGACCTCTATGTGGCCTCATTTTTTTAAAGAAAAAATATTTTTTTTAAATTACAATTTCAAATAGAGTCTAAACATGTTTCTGCAAGAATCACAATCATATCCAACAGCATAAGAATACACAGTAAGAAATATATAAACTTATTTGAATGAGATTAGAATTATCTAATAATATTAACCCATAGCATCGTTCAGACAATATTTTCCGTCAATAGTCGGAACTTACCATATTGATTGGGTCAACTGGGCCAATGCTGTTAACATAGACATCTGTTTCAATTACCGTAGTTCTCACTAAACAAAATAGTAACCATAATAATTACATATTTTATTAACTCTGTACATTGCTAGTGTAATACAACCTATTCAATGAAACAACAATAAATCTGATATTTTTTTATTAGATTCAGATTAATTACATCTCTGGTTTGTTCATTCTTTGAAGGATCATATATGACTTGGCTCCCTTATTCCATACGAATTGTTAGAATTACCAACATGAATTTTTTACTCGTATTGCAATCTGCACCTGTGCTTTGAGAAGAGATACAAGGTAAATATAAAAGGTATACAAGGTAAAGGAAGAGAAAAAAAACAAAACTCGTCTTCCAAATAAGAATTTAATCATAAGCAGAGAAAAAGTGTTTGGAAAAAATTGCTTGTACAGCAAACCATAAGGTCTGGGAGCAGATGTGTTTATCAGCTGTAAAGAATCAATATGCAATGCTCTCTGTCAATCACTACTGAAAATGTGTAACAGCAATAAAATAACTTTTCATCACAGGTTTCTTCAAGTCATGGAACTATAGCACACCTAAGGCTTACTAATGTCCTTTTACCAGCTTGATTAATACACTGCTTCAAACATCAAATTGAAAGCTCCTTAAGTTTAAAAGTTAAACATTTCCAAACTTATTTTTCTTTAAAAATACAGGGAAACCACTCTCACTGGGCAAACAAAAATTAACTGCTTTAAAAATATATTATCTTACAGAATATACTCTCTTACTTTGTGCATCAAAGTCTACAGACTTACTTACAGAAGTGCACCAAGTCTAACTGACTTCCCATGAGAGTCACATCTGAAGCAATCATAAGACATTTTTTTTCCTAACTGGTTTATAGGGGGAAAAGGTACAAATGGAAGAGGTCAGGATGCATTTTAACTTCATCGATTTACCAAGCATTTTCTTCTAGCTTGTACTGGAGAACGAGAATGTGGATACAACAGGACATATATCCTAGTCCCCAGTGGAATGAAGAAGGTTAATAATAAAGCTCTGCTGGTCTTTCTTTCATGATCTGACATACTAAAATGAAGCATCTCTGTCCATCGGCAGATGGAAAAGAGGGAAGGTACAGAAAAAAGGCACTTTGATTTCACATGAGAGGAACCCTAGGTCACCAGATTTGATTTCTTTATGCTGCAAACTATCAGAGATTGCCCAAGTGCTCTATAAAAAACCTAAAATCTTAAGAGGATTTTTCAAATCTCAAAAATCTGAAACTTGAACAGACACACAGAAAGAAACAAGGAATCATTAACATCCTTGCCAGCTACAATGACAGGCAAGATACATTTCCTAAACATCCTAAAACACCTTTTCCCTGACATTCTCACCTGCGAGGAAATTCTCCCTGATTCTAAATCCAATTACTGGTGTGATCCTGAGCCTGACAGCAAGACACACCAGTGAGGCTGCACAAAGGATTTTCTGTACAATCACAGAGCACAGAGTCACTTGATCACCATCCTGTCCCCAGCATGCTTCACAAAAAAAGGTTAAACAGACTCTGGAAACCAATCTATTTCCGGGGGGGAAAAAAATAAGTACTTCCCAAGTGGCAAATGTTTTCAGTATCTGCAGGTCTCATAAAGGAAGGGCAACAAAAGAACCCACATCCACAGACTGAAAAATGACAGTAAAAAAGTATATAATTCATGTGTGTATATACACATCTGCATAATATAGTTAACATATCCCACACCTCACAGATATCCTTTTCCTTTAATTTTGCAACTCTATCTATATAACAGCAGCCCCACTTCTAGACTAGAACACGAGGAGGTGGATCAAAGTGTATCTTGCCTCGTTGCTTAAGCAATACTGAATCCACTATTTTTTTCCCCATATTAGTAGAAAAGTTTCATTCTCCTTAATGTTAGAAAATCTTGTTTTGTTCTGAGGTTCAAGTCTTTGACTCGAACTTTCAGCACTGCCTAACCATATAGCAAACCTCTTGTTCAGATGTAAGTACCTACACACAGTGATTAAGGTCACGTCTGAAACTTGCCTTCGGTATGCTGAACAGTTCACACCACATACTGCAGATGCAACCTACAGATAATCTGTTCAGTTTTAACTTCTAAACTTATTTCATTTTTTTTTCCAGATCCATCTTGAAATGTGGACATCAGAACCAGAAATTCTTGTAACACTGTTTTCAGTGCTGCTTGAACATTTCCAGATTTCTACAAAGAAACTTGTGTTCCTTTTCAAAAGTGGACTTATCTCAGGACAATGCTCAGGCAATGCATAGTTAAGATCTTATACTACACAAAATATCTGTTTTCTGCTAAATCGCTGCTTTACTATGCAGAATCTCTGACCTTGAAATACGACCCACAGGCTTCTTCCCCTCCACATTCTTTTTTTTTCCCCCTCTCAATTTTTCCATCTCCAGTTTTACTGGAGCTGATTACTCTGCAGATACAGCCTCTTCCTTTCCAACAGTCTTTGTGTCATCTGCCAACTTTACTACAAGAAATCATTGCTGAAATCACTCAAAATATCATTATTCTTGATCAAGACTTTCCTATGAGACCCCACTATAGACAACCCAACCACTGACATTTCCTTATTAACAACTAAATTTTGAGATCTGTCAGCGAGCCACTTTTTAATGGGGGCTGTGTCAACTTTATGAAATTCCAGCTTGCAGTGAGCACTACTTGATCTGCCACAAGGGCTCTCCTGTAATGTGCGTGGAGTTCAATTTGCCTTTTCCATACTGCTCTGAGTAAGATTATTAGAGCTATTAAGAGACAGTGAAGAGTCTGAAAATCTGCCTCTGTTGAAATTATTTTAATTGACCAAATGATCCAGAGAAAGAGATCCAATTCAAGATGACTGGAAGAGGTTGTTTTGTTACCTTAGTTCTTTTGTATGCTACACAGCAAAGTCCTTCTGTGAATTAGAAGAAAGAATTCATTCTTCTTGTGTCCATGAACTAGAAGTGATACGAGTCCACGAAAATTACAAATGCTGGAGGAAAATACAGTGTTGATACTAATTTGACATCCATATAATTACTGTTGTTCATTTACTCTCCACAAAAAGCTAACAGCGAAAGACAGTTTGAGAAGATTTTTCTAGTGCCTCTTATATTACTTTAAAAATTTGTCATCAGCCTTAAAAACATTATGACTAGGAAGAAGGCTATTTAACACATCCTGCATGAAGCGCAAAACAGCACTGTAAACTTACAGAAGCTTCTAAGGAAGGGGAAAAAGGGCTTGCACACTTTAAATATTTACACTGAAAGACAATATGAGATAGGCTAGAGTGAAGTAAGAAGGTGAGAGGGCAACAGATTGCATACTCAACAGAGAGAGAGAGGGAAGAGCACCAAGAGGCAGCTGCCCCCACAAGATAGTTCACTAGCTCCTAACGTACCTGAAGCACACAGGTGACGTGTTTGCTAAGCCCAGTCTAGAGAGATCTACTCACACTTTCTGATTCTGTGCTTTGATGTCTTTTCTTCACTAGACTAAACTTCTCTTCTGGTTTAAAAGGTTTGACTGGTATCGAGCATCATGTAACACAAGCACATAACTAAGGACAGCCTTGTCCCAAGAAATAAATACAGTAAATAAGTGACTCTTGTGCTTGGAATTTAAGAGCAAGAAAGAACTTCCTGACAAGCAACATGACCTGGAAAGAAGTCTCTCAGCAGGCATGGACCACTACACTTCTGGTAAGGGATGATGCTGCATAACACGCAGGCTGTGGTGGGTTGACCCTGGCTGGATGCCAGATGCCCATCAAAGCCACTCTATCACACCCCTCCTAAGCTAGACAGGGGAGAGAAAATACAATGAAAGAATCATGGGTCAAGATAGGGACAGGGAGAGCACTCACAAATTACCCTCATGGGCAAAATAGACTTGATTTTGGAAAAATAGTTTAACTCATTACCAATCAAGTCAGATAAGGGTAATGATAAAATAAAAAGTAGATCTTAAAACATCTTCCCCCCACCCCTCCCTTCTTCCCAGGCTTAACTTTACTCCCAATTTCTCTACCTCCTTCCACACAGCAGCGCAGGGGCATGGGGAATGGGGGTGGCCAGTGAGTTCATTACACGTTGTCTCTGATACTCCTTCCTCCTCAGGAGGAGGACTCCTCATGCTCTTCCCCTGCTCCAGCACGGGATCCCTCTCATGGGAGACAGTCCTCCACAAACTGTCCAAAGTGTGTCCTTCCCATGGGCTACAGTTCTTCATGAACTGATCCAGCATGGATCCCTTCCATGGGGTGCAGTCCTTCAGGAACAGGCTGTTCCAGCATGGGTCCCCCATAGGGTCACAAGTCCTACCAGCAAACCTGCTCCACCATAAGCTCCTCTCTCCACAGGTCCACAGGTCCTGCCAGGAGCCTGCTCCAGTGCGGTCTTCCCATGGGGTCACAGCCTCCTTCAGACATCCACCTGCTCCAGCGTGGGGTCCTCCACAGGTTGAAGGTGGATATCTGCTCCCCTGTTAACATCCATGGGCTGCAAGGGTACAACCTGCCTCACTGTGGTCTTCACCATGGGCTGCAGAGGAATCTCTGCTCTGGTGCCTGGAGCACCTCCTCCCCCTTTTTCTTCACTGACCTTGGTGTCTGCAGAGTTTTTTCTCTCACTTGTTCTCACTCTCTCCAGCTGCAACTGCTGTTGCACATTTTTTTTCCCCCTTTTTTAAATATGTTATCCCAGAGGCACTACCACTGTCACTGATGGGCTCAGCCTTGGCCAGTGGTGGGAACACCTTGGAGCTGGTGGCAGTGGCTCTATCAGACATAGGGGAAGCTTCTAGCAGCTTCTCACAGAAGCCACCCTTGTAGCCCTCGCGCTACAAAAACCTTGCTACACAAACCCAACACACAGGCATATTCTGAACCCCAGCTTGACTTCAAAATCTGTATTTGGAAAATGTTTACTCTATTAGAAAAAGCGTAGTGATAAAAATCTACCTCAATCACTGAGAAATAATTTTAGTAGTTCCTCTTGCTATCAAAAATTCCTCTTTTTCAGCCTGCATTTATCCAGGCCAAATTCTCAGCTTTTGATATTTGAAATAACTCTGCCTGCTATGCTGAAGAGCTCTCCTTATCAGTTATTCTCAGTTTATAAACTCCCATCTCCTGACAGATATTATTATCATTATTGTATGAGTGCAGAACATTGTACTTTTATTGCTTAATATTGCTCCATTTTCATTACTCCAATCCTCAACATTACCCAATAGCACATTAGTCCATCTAAATTCACTAACCAGTGCCTTTAGTTTGCCACAATTCCCTGTTTTGGAATGAAGGTCTAAGATATACCACCTTTTTTTTTTCATTATTACTTATCATGCTATTTAATTTCAGCTAAGACCACTTTTGATAATTTCATCCAGGCTTATTTTCTTTGACCACCTTTTCTATAACTCCTCATTAATTGCCTAAGGAAGCATCTCTTCTTAGTGATAAAGCAGTTATTCAGCAAATAAATTAAGCGATTCCCACATTTAGAAATGACTGAAGACTTCTACTTGTAACAGTTTTTAATGGTATAATACAATTCTCACAACCAGTTATCTAAGACTATTACTTATATGGCTACCTATATTGAAAATTCAGCCTTGAGTATCTACAGCAGGCTTCCACCTCCATCTCTGAAGAATTTTTTCAAAGTGATTTTGATGAAGGCAGAGCCATGTTCTCCACACTTCTTCTTTTACCTTTTTATTTGAAAGAAACCGATCTTTAACAAATACTCCTACCGCACGACTGTTATTATTTCCATCATCTTCTATGCAGTGCATAGATCCAGTACCTTTAACATTCACTGCATATGCTCTTCTACATCTTGCTCTTGTATTTCAATTTCTTTAAATTCTTGCAAAATATTCTTCGTCTCAGAATACATACCTCTCTACCTTTACTTGATATTTTCCTGCTTATTTAGGCTTATGACTTTCCTGCCTACATCATCCTTTCATCAATGCTACACTAAGAGCACTGTTAAACAGCACATCCCCCTAACATTCTTATCTTTTCAGAATTAGTACTTCCATTAGTCTCTTGAAAGTCTACTTTTTGTTCATGTATCCTTTATACCCCTGAGTACATGACTTTTCACAGTAGTGCACTGAGATGCAATTACTTACTCATGCCCTGCTTATAGGGCAATTACAACTATCCAAATTTCTCTAGGTATCCAATTTCTCTATGCCTATGAGCAATCATCTTGACCATTCTTAAAAATTTTATCAATGATGACTTTCCTCAAACTGTTGATTGAAAATACTCCATTAAATTTGTAGATATGTGATGATTATTCCCTATTTTTAATTAAACTTTCAGATTGATCAGTTGTGTTTCACTCATATAATACACAACACTGGACACGAGGCATAGCTGGAAAAAATGTGCTGTACATTGATAGGTTAATATTAATATAGCAGTGTCCCTAAGGTGTGAGAGATGGAACAGTGTGCAACCAGAATTCTTTCCTTTAAAAAGGAAAGTTGAAAAATAACAGTTACTTTGACGCAGGACTGAAGCTAAATCAGTGTGGTTATAAAACCAGGTAGCCAAAAGGTAACATTACAGTGAGAATAATACTGTTTTACTAATATATCAACACTCCAAGGTTGTATCAGTACAAGTGATTTGTACTACAGATAAGAGATTTCATCTAGTAACTACCATTACTTCATACTGAGCAGAAAGTACTTTAATACTAGTTCCTTTATCCTCCAAACACCTCAAAGTATATTACACAAATTGAGTTAAAGACTAGTAAGGTTAATAAACATAGCAAAGGGTAGCACTACAAATTGTGGATATTTGAATAAGAAAAACAGAAAATGACAGTGTGGTTTTCTCCTATTAAATTTCAGTATTGCCTCTGACATTTCAATTTTCATTTGGCTCTCCTTTATCATCTCTGTCAACTAACTGCATGTTTAACAATGAAACCCCTTATCTCACTCTGAGATGCTGAAATTCTGTGTCAACACCAGGAAGAAAATGAAATTCTGCTCTAGTATTCAAACCCAAAAATTCCAGGTTCAAAACAATATATGTTGCTATTGGAACTGAGCTTCATAATTCAACAGTAAACATAATCTGAGCAATATTATTGCTTTGAAAGATAATTAGAATTCCAGTTCAATAACCTTGTTGTACAAGTACTGACATATACTCTGAAGATGTGGAATCTGACACCAGATTTTATCCACACAGTTGAAGCAGACTAAGATGAATGCACTATAGCCTGATTTTGTTCTTCTACCTGTTACGTATCTGCTGCAGTTCCCAAGCAGCTGGACAGAATGCGACGTCTTCACCCAAAGTTGGAAATTTCATCTTATGTTGTTCAAAATTTCTGCCTTGTGGCAAAAGTCTGCAACTTCCCCTCCATCCAGAAGGGAGTCAGTCTTAACGTGTACTCCTGGCACCAAAGTGAATACTCCCAAATGTCCCTTGTTCTCATCACTCTGGCTGATTATTCATGAACCTTATGTTTTAATATATTGGATGGAGGCAGGTCCTGGACAGCAAAGGTCACATTGGTATAGAAGTATTGCATCAACAAAGCAAAGAAGAAAAAGAAAGGGAGCGTTTATGCGAGAGAAGCTAGAACCAAGCATCTCCTTTCAGGAACTGATATCAGGAATCCAAAAAGCTGTACACTAAGTTACTCACACAAAGACAGAGTTCTTACCCTGTCAAGCTCAGTACATAACCAGAAAAGTGAAGGTAAGGATTACACCAAAATTCTTCCATGCCCATCTAAATCAATTTGACATGTCAGAAGAAACTTCTCTTCCTCAATTTTCTCTTCATTTCTAAATTTTATGGGGAGGGAAGAGAAACAGAAATCTTTTCTTTCATCCCCACCTCCTAGCTAACCATTAGAAGGAATCCTAGTGGAGACACATTTATTGCCTTATATTCCCCTCATGTTGGAACAGCTCCAGAGGAGGGCCACAAAGATGATCAGGGGGCTGGAGCACCTCCCCTGTGAGGACAGGCTGAGAGAGTTGGGGTGGTTCATCCTGGAGAAAAGAAGGCTCCAGGAAGACTTTCTAGTGGCCTTCCAGTACTTCAAGGGGGCCTACAGGAAAGTTGGGGAGGGACTCTTGGTCAGGGAAGGTAGTGAAAGGACAAGGGGTAACAGTTTTAAACTGAAAGAGGGGAGATCTAGATCAGATATTAGGAAGAAATTCTTTCCTTTGAGGGTGGTGAGGCACTGGAACAGGTTGCCCAGAGAAGCTGTGGCTGCCCCCTCCTTGGAAGTGTTCAAGGCCAGGCTGGATGGGGCTTTGAGCAACCTGGTCTGGTGGAAGATGCCACTGGCCATGGCAGGGAGGTTGGAACTAGATGGTCTTTAAGGTCCCTCCCAACACAAACCATTCTATGATTCTATAATCCCTTTGCTGTTTGTTGCATCAAGCAGCTGGGGGGGAAAAAAAGGTAATGCTATACATCTGTTGCCCATTAAGAATCTAAGGAAAAATATGCTGGAAGGCCTTTCTTGTTGTCTGAATGTTTGCAGTAATCCGATTAAATGAACGTGAAGACAAAAGACTTACAACAAATTCATGAGATTCACATGTGATTATATATGACAGTAAGACAAAAATTGCCATTCAACATCTTCAGAGTAGCAGTCAACAATAAAACAGAACTCAGAAATTTGGGGAAGAAAACAATATGACAGAAGCTTTCAAAAGAAAATACCTAGTTTGAGATTGCATCTCTCTCTTCTCCCACATAAATGAAACAAATCTAGATTGTTGTATTGTTTATTGTATAAGCAGCTTACAGACTTACATGGCATTCCTTTGATAGGGAATGCCAAGTATTTAACAAATACTTATGTCGTCCATCTCTGCCTTCACAGTTTAGGAAACAAACTCAGAGAAAATAAATTTTTTTTCTTAGTTTGATCCAGCATGCATGTGGTGGACAAAAGATGGCAAGGTTTCATGTAGTCCATGTTTTCAATACAAGATTCTTCCAAATATTTATACTTAATAGTTATATGTAAATTGATGCTTTGACTATTGAAAGACAAAATTGCCTTCATACTATCTGCAAAGTTCGATCTATAGTAATGCAGTCTTCCTTCCTATATTCCTCTAGAAAAGGTATAGACCTAAGCTGTATTTTTAGATTCTTAAGAAATTTTTCAAAATCTAAGCTAAGGGAAGAAAAGAACTAGGTTGAGTTAAATTTGCTCAAAATACACACTTACAATGCACTTTCTACAGTAAGAGTAAAAATATCTAGGAATAATTCTTTAATAAAGTCCTACAGACTCAAGATCAAACTTTTAAATAATCATGGCTGGTTTATATCTACAATTTTTTCTGTCAGAAGATCTTATTTAAACAAAGCAAACTATATTTGCCTTTTAATGATTTAGTATAGATTGCCTACTGTCCCCAAAAAGCAATACTTTACATTAGAAAAAGACATCGTAAACAGAACATAAAAAAAAAAATCTACTCTTGCACGAAACATTATTTTTACCAGTTCCAGAAAACCATTGCATTTTATTGCTGTTACATTTAGCTTGCTACATTAAGTTTTTAAAATTGCATTAAGTGCATTTTTGCCATCTTTGACAAAATGCCTGCCATCTCTGGTTCACATCTTCTATTTACTGTATTATTTTATGTGCTTACCCCCAATATCTGGCCGAAGTTTATTGTCATATCCTTGAAGTAAGGAGTCCAGTATGTGAGTTACATCCCCACCATGAATCTTTGGTGCAAGGACCCATGTTTTATTCACTGTTAGATCTTCATCATCTTCATCATCTGCTTTATCAGCTCTACAGTGAGTGAATGAAAAAAAACAAGGTTAGGAAAAAAAAGCACCCCAAACAGTGAAACTAACTACACAAGAGGTGAAGAAGAATCTGATAAAATATCGAACTCTATTTATAGTACTTTATAAAAACCCAAACGCATTCTGGTGCCAACAGAAAGAGGCAGGCTCTATTTAAGACACCAACATTTTGTTTAATGGCAATACAGAGTGTAAGCTAACAAACATGTCAAGAGAGACATTAACACATCACCCATACAGAAAAACTCAAGCCATGAGTCAAACCCATAAGTCAAACCCATAAAAGCAGCAGCAGGCATCCTCTTACTGTCACCCTTTTCCTGTTTTAAAACACAAAATGTAATTCCCAAGCTTCTCCCCATATGTATTGAATTTTCAAATCATGGTACTAATATTTCTAAGAGAAGCTTAATCATGGTAATAGATACAACTTGGCTGTCAAGAACATTAACAGAACCTCCTTGCTAGCTATGATAACAGAATCTCCATTCTAGCTGTGATATAAAACAATAAGACTTATATACTCTCCTCAATTTTAATTTTCAGAAAGCAAACATTCTATCCATGTGCTATAACTAAATAGGCACAGAAGCTGCAGTCAATTATGTATCTGCATGTATATATGGTATAGTTAAAATACTGTACCATTCCTTTCAGTTAAGATCACTTGTTAGCTACCTATTTTATCAAGATGAAACAAATGTACAAGGAAAATACACGTTTATTTATTGCCTATCTTTTAATTAGATAAGCAGAGTTATACAGTTAATCACTAAGTCACTAGAAAAAAATTGTAATACCTTGGTTGCATCTGCAGATTCACTCAGATATCACCAAAAGGTCAAAAAGGAGTGCCTGGAAGTAGCTTTCTTTTCAATTGAATCAAGTGAGTGTTGGACTCAAGTATTCCTCCAGTGCTAAAGTTTGCAACCTATATTACTCATCCAGCTTATTTCAGGGAACTGCTATGGGCTCCAAGTCAAGCAAAGTGTATCAGGCTTATAGCAGTAACTCTGACAGTCACACAACGTACCTTCACAAATGGACGCTGGCTAGCAATTATTACAGAATGTATGCAATCCCTATAAATCAGTTCCAACGTTAGCATAAGCACGGATATTCCAGTAAAAGAAAGGAATCAAATTACTGTCCTTGTACCAATTTGTATCATACACCAAAACGAAAAATGTTACTGCTATATTATTAGAAAGGGATTTAAGGGCTTCTAAATTACACAGACATACACTGCCCTCAAAACTAAGCGAGGAATTTTTCAGAAAATTTCCTACAGGAATGAATATCACCTGCATGTTTCACGTGGAGACAACACTACGCCTTCAGGGGGAAAGGACAGAAAAAGTCAGGAAAGAACAAAGGTGGGGTAGGCATGCCTGGCCTTTATTGCACTGCTTTGTGGGAATGCACCAAAACAGTCTGTATTCGTAACATCACCTCTCAGATAACACTAGCAAGTCTCACTGAAAATCAAGACTACTGTGGCTGTGGAAACTGCTCAGTGGTTTTGCCATGCCCGCTTAATTTGGGAAGTGCAACAGGGAGCTTGCCACACACAGCTCAACAGGTTCCCAGAGGATGAACAAAAGGCACTGCCTGGCTATCCGGACTTTCATACCTAGCTTGATGCAAACAAGTCACAAAAGTCTACTATAGCTGAAAGTAATAAGCAATCTAAATACAAGGTTCACTGACAGCTTCCCCTGTAACAGTCTGAAAAGCGCTTTCATTCTTTTAGATTGAAATGCACAGTAAAATACTTAATCTTTACTGCACTATATAGACATTATAGAAATGTCAGATATTAAATATTTAACATTTCCCATTAGCAGGATCCCACTAATGGGAGCACTAAAAGAAGCAGGAAGCTAAGTTTTGTAAATGTACACTCTTTTTCCCTCAAAGCTACCTATTGCCATCTCTTTCATGTTGCATTACCACTCGGGGTTTTTTTTTTAATATACTTTTGGTCTGCTTGCATTTTATGTCATCTAATAACTATACAAATTAACTTGTGGTTTCTAAGAGCGCAGAGGCAATCCTAGCCTTTCCGCAGGGGCATTAAGATGATGATGAGTAAAACTTAATTTACAGGCAGGTCTCTAAGGAAAGAGACATGCCCACTACAAAAGTGACCTTTTCTTCTTTCTCTTTTTGTCTTCCATCCCAGAAACAGCAGAAAGCACAGTGAAACTACCAGAGCTCTGTACAGATCCAGGGCACCTGACTCTCAGGATCAGCCCAATTATTTGCAGAGAATTTGAAGTGATGATGACACAATTTTGCCCTGCTTTAATGTACTTTCCAAATCGCTATTAAGAGCAGCACAGATATAGACAAAATGAAAAGTACAAGAGGTCATGCCATTCCCACCTAAACCCAAGAGGAGTTACAACCATGATGCCTCCATTTGCAGTGACTAGAATATCTTGACATTTTGAAGAGTTCTTAATTTTATTTATAGATTCACAGGACAACTCAGGTGGGAAGGGATTGTGTGAGGTCTCTAGTCCAGCCTCCTGCTTTTCAGCTTTGAGGTCACAGCAAGTTGCTCAGGGCTTGATCAGGTTGGGTCTTGCAGACCTCCAAGGATGGAAACTGCACAACCTCTCCAAGCAACCCGCTCCCTACTTCTCTCTTTTCCGTTTTTTATTGTATTTAAATAAACTTGAAATTCACAAGAAAAAAAAATACGAATACAAACACATTTCTGATTTTCACTTTCTCTCTTGCTTGATTGGAGGACCTCTGGTCCTCCTCCAATTTTAAAACTCTGAATTATAAATAGGTATACAGATGAGGACACTGATAGCTTACAGAAAGCTGTTAATAATGCAGTTCCAGAGAAGAGAGGGAAAAATTCCATCACAACATCCAATAGCTTTTCCAGCCACTACTAAGTAAATCCATTTAAGAAGGCATTTTTATTAGAGGCAACATTTCTTTACTTAGTCTATGATAAGTCATAGACTTGGCTTAACTTGTGAATTTCCTACTATTTACATGGAAATATCTGTTTTTTTCTAGAAAATATCATACACTTAAAAAAGTGCCAACTGCTAGAAAAAAAAATAGACTAGACTTCCATACCAGCACACTATGTTCAAGAGGCTGGTGGCTCACTAATCCATTAGGTAAACCAGCAAAGGAACCAGCACAAATCAGAAATTAATATAACTAAATGTGGAGGAAACAGTCTATTGTTGTTCTACACAGTGAAAGGAGCTATTCTTACTCTCTCTGTTCCTGTCTTACTGGACTTTTCAGAGATGATTGACTATGATTAACCCATCGCGCTAGCAGAAGACCATCTTTCTAACTCTTCTTTAAAATGTGACCATGTCATATTAAATAGATTTGAACTACTCCGTTTCAAAGGTAGAAACCCCTTCAGATTCACACGGTTGGTCAGCAGGATCAGCTGAGATGGTGTTATCAGGAACTAATGGAGGTTGCTAGACCATGTTCTTTAAGAAACATTCACTTTGGAAAACAACATGTTTCAAAACTGTTGACCTTTTACCCAAGTTTCTGTGTGTCTCCCATTGCAAAGTCCAGCTTTTTCTCCAGGGTTTGGAATGGGGTTGAAGGAAAGACACAAGACAGCAAACTTCATTCCAAACCAGAAAATAAAATGTTAAATTCAGGTATGCCTTTCAAATATTTAGCCACAGTTAAGTTGGGCTGAGCACCTTTTTACTTCTTTGCAGTTAAAATAAATCCAGCAAACACATGAAGATCAATGTCAATTAACTCCACCCTCACTTTAACTATGGCACTTTCCCCTCTCTCTCACAACCCCAGGATGAAAGGCAAACTTAATTAAAGAGGAATTCTTTTCCTTTCCAAGTTCATCTAAAGGTTATTTCACTATACACAGAACATAATATTTGATCCTCTCTCCATTTACTGTAAAATATATTTTTTTCCAACAAAGTTCACTCAGAAGGTCTTTTTCAGAATGTCTGGAGAGACAATGATTTGGAACAAAAATATGACATCAAACATTAAAACTTTTCTGTTCCATGGCACGACACTCTTTTACATCTATTACCGCGGCTGTTAAACTTGATTTTAATGATTTTATAAATAAGAAAGAGTCCTCACTTCTTAACACGCTTGTTTTTATAACACTTCATCTAGCCTCATAAACTCAACAGTAAACTGCATGTATACGGTTAGCAGTAATTAGGCAAAAAGTGCCCTAATTATGCTCTCTGTCCTTCAACTAATTGGAGACATTACAATGACTATTAAATCCCTGAGCACAAGTGACTAATGACTAAATAAGTCTTTTCAACATCAGGCAACATGCTCATCTTCAGACATTAATATCATAGGTCTTTTTTCTCCTTTAAATATGAGAAAAAAACAATTCGATGAGCTTTAAGTTGCAATTAACATCTGTCAGGTTATGTAAAGAACTGGGAAAAAAATGATACAGTCAGAGTGCTCCTACTGCTATTTGCATCACACGTATCAAAGTATTACATGTAGAGACAAACATATAGAATATGTGGGAGTATTTAAGCACAGCTAAGGATCAATTCAGTTGTCCATTCCAGGCTCCTATTCCCACCCAATACACCTGAGGGTATCCAGTTCTTCAAGCAGCGTTGATTTATGGGGAACCCTCAGACTTCTGGAGAAGCAGTAGAGACTGGGCAGGGAACCTTAATTATCTCCACCAACACCTCATGCCTGTGCACACGCAATTCAGTCAAGCCCTCAGCGGCCGTGAGGCATAAACAACCCAGCACAACGGCTTTGTCTATTTGGAGATGAAGTGATCCTTCCATACAAGGAATACTCTGATGATCATTTAATAAATAAATAAGAAGGAAAGCCAGTGTTTCTTTCTAAGCTGAAAAAACTGAAAGGAACACACTATTTCCCTTTTTGTCTTACACACACAAATGAAAACAATAAGACTAGCTCTGTTAGTTTATTTAGCTGAGGATCTTCTCC